AGCAGTTTTCATCCGTGTCGTTTATGACTCAGGTGATAGGAGCATTTTCAAGTGACGCAGAGATAAAGCGTGCATGGAGCTCCCTTCGCGACGTATTGCAGAGCACTGTTTCTGCCATTGCCCAGCGAATGCAGCTCTCCGAGTGCTCTAAAAGTGCGAGAAGCGTTACGTTTCTTCTTTCCAAGAAGAAGGAGGACGGGGTTGTGTCACTCTGCTCTGTGAAGGCCTGTTATCCACAGCAGACGGTACCTCTGGATGAGGCGGTCGAATGCTTTATTGAGCCGAGCAGTCGAATGGTATGTCGTCGAGAATACCTGCCGCCAAGTGTTTGGCCCTTTCCGGATCGCATTCCCTACACATATGGCCCAGCGCCACGGGCGTGTTATGTCATAAACCGGACGACCGAGACAAGACACGACTCTGCACACTACGCCAAGCACGATGTTTGGCATCACGAGCCGCGGTACTACACTGTGGGCGACGACGGGGTTGTCCGGGAGCTACGGCCAGCGGATCCGTAGGCTACTAGAGTGAGTGGTAATTGGACAGGGAGAGGTCTGAAGGAAAGGTCAAAATGCCCAAGAAGAATAAAAGGGGGAGATGGCGGTGACGAGGTGTGCCACAATTCCTTAGTACGACAACGCGTTAGATGGATGCCCAGGGAGGAAGATGCAAAGGTATCTTTTTGAGAACAATAATTTATAATAAACGTCAGAAGGCATTTTTCTCAATGGTATGGAACGGCTTACGCATTAATGCCTGGACTTTTTTTGATGCTACTTTCAAGATGTGGAATTTTATTTTATTTTTTCTTTGTCTTTGTTATTTCACTAATTATTATTATTATTATTATTATTATTATTATTATTATTATTATTTACTCTCTCTCTCTCTATCCCTCTGTGATTCCACGACCTGCTCTTGCTGGAAAGGTGGTACGCGGCATGTATTCTGAACGAGGGCTGCCCTCTGTTGAGCCACCACCTCTGTTTCCGCTTGAAAAGGATCGGCTGTTTCCATGTGAGCCGGCAGGCAATGCGGGTGTTAATGGTAGTGTTGATGGGGATATACGTGTGCCTGACACCACAGTTCTTCAACGGCACTTCAAGGCAGGTGGTGTCCTGCAGGAGGCTGACGCACTTTGGCTGATTGAAACCGCTAGCGCGTTGTTTGCACAGGAACCTAATGTTTTGCGCCTGGAGGATCCTGTTACCGTGTGCGGTGACATACATGGACAGTACTACGACCTGCTGACGTTGTTAGAACTTGGTGGGGACCCGGGCGAAACGCAATATTTGTTTCTCGGGGACTACGTTGACCGGGGTATTTTTTCCTGTGAGGTGACACTTCTTCTCTTTGCCTTTAAAATTAGATATCCAAAGTCGTTTTGGATACTGCGTGGAAACCACGAGTGTCGTCATCTTTCCTGCTGCTTTACTTTTCGTGATGAGTGTTTGCGTAAGTACGGTGAAGCCGTGTATGATGCATTTCAGCTAGCCTTTGACCGGCTGCCTTTAGCCGCTCTCGTGGCGGCAGCGTTCCTTTGCGTCCATGGAGGAATTTCGCCGTACATCAAGACAATCCGTGAAATTGACGATATTGAGCGGGTGCGGGAGCCACCGATGTTCGGCCCCATGTGTGATCTTCTGTGGTCGGATCCCATGGAGGAAGAGGAGGAGCAGATGTGTCCAGATGCATTGTTTTTGCATAATGCGCTGCGCGGCTGTTCTTTTTTATACTCCAGTAGTGCGGTGGAGGAATTTCTTACCATGAATGGCCTCCTCAGTGTGATTCGCGCACACGAGGCGCAGAACGAGGGGTTTCGTTTCTTTCGGAAGGTGGAATCCACTGGGTTTCCTTCAGTTATTTGCATCTTTTCCGCACCTAATTATTGTGATGCATATGACAACAGGGCATCTATTTTAAAAATTGAACGCAAAACGCTGCGTGTGATACAGTTTATGGCTGCACCTCATCCTTATTTACTTCCCAACTTTATGAACGCCTTCACATGGTCTCTGCCTTTTCTCTATGAAAGGCTGGTGGGCATCATACGGTTTATAACCGCGGGCGAAGAGGAGGAAATGAGTTAACTCTCAGTCGGCTTTAAGCTTCGGATGAGTGTGTGGGAACCGCTGCGTGTGGAGAAGGCGTCGATGACGAAAATGGAGGAAAAACACCCTTTTTTTTTTTACTCTTCTTCTTTTACTGCGACTCACAGACTTGTGGAAAGGCGACAGTGAAGCGAACTGTTTTTTTTTTTTGGCGAAGATACCAGCACACACGGATGGCTTTCTTCTTCTTTCTATGGGTATTATAGTGTATTGTGTGAAACATGACAACCCCTCCACCATTTCTTTTGTTTTTTTCCTTTGGTTTTTCCCGCGCGCTTCCAATACCGGTACTCCACGTTTGCTGGAAGGAAAGAAGTCGCGAAATGCCCCCCAAGTTTGACCCCAACCAGGAGCTTATAGTCATTGTGAGGGCCGTCGGCGGTGAAGTGCCTGCCACAGCGTCGCTCGCTCCGAAGGTCGGTCCGCTCGGCCTGAATGCCAAGAAGATCGGCGAGGACATCGCCAAGTCCACGAAGGACTGGAAGGGTCTCAAGGTCACATGTGAGCTGCGCGTCAAGAACCGTGTGGCCACTGTGCGTGTCACGCCCTCCGTTGCCTCTCGTTTGATCCGCGCCCTGAAGGAGCCGCCGCGTGACCGCAAGAAGGTGAAGAACATCAAGCACAGCGGCAATATCCCCTTCTCGGAGATTCTTAAGATTGCAAAGGAGGCGGCGCCCAACTCCATGGGGGCCAACATGAAGTCCGTCGTGATGGAGGTGCTCGGCACGGCGCTTTCCGTAGGCTGCACAATCGATGGCGAGAACCCGCGGGAAATACAGGACAAGGTGCGTAATGGCAAATTGAAGGTTCCGAACTGAGAGCGCTGCTTCCTGCGTGGCATGCATGTATGCCGCCGCGTGCTTGGTCGCGCACTGGCCAAACACGAACCTCGCGTCCTCTTCTTTCTCGTTTTGTTAATTTTTTTAATTTTATTTTCTGTCAGTTTCTGAGAGAACACGTGATTCACTCGATCTCCCTTTTTTTTTTTTTTCTCTCTCTCCCTCTGTGTGTGTATTTGTGACCTTGCCGCTGCTGTCACTGCCGCTGCCTCCTCCTCCTCCCCGCATGAGCGTTGTTTTTTTTTTTTTATTGTGTTTTTTGCCCTCTTTCCATCTTCTTGACGTGTCGCACCCGTTCCGGCCTGTCGGCAGTTTATTTGTTTTAAGTCTGCGTGGCGATTTCAGAGGGGCGAAGTGACTTTTGAGGCGTTGAAGGCGAAAGGAAAAAAAAGAAAAAAAAAAAAAAAAGAGGGAAACTCGCCACTGTAAAACAGCAAAGAAAATAAGCGAGTGGGAGTGAGAGAGCAAACGAGGGGCCTCACTGTCGTTGGTTTTGCGTAAATAAAGGCGAGGCGGAGGGGGCGGAATAGGCGACGAGCAAAGTAAAGGAAAAGAGGCACTACCACACACAAAAAAGGTGTGTGTGTGTGTGGGTGGGGGAAAAAAAAAGGAAGGAAAAAATAGAGGACGTCTAAAATAAATAAATAAAAAAAAAAAAAAAATAAGCGAAAAACAACAACAACAACAACAAAACGACGGCAAGAAAAGCACCGAACAAAAAAAAAAAAAAAAAAACTCACGAGGAGAGAATTATATAAGTAAATAAGAAAGGGTCTGTTTGCGTACACATAGGAGCGAAAGAAGGCAGGAGGAGGGAGAAGGAGAAAAAATTAGAGGAAAGGCGGATAAACAAAGAAACAACAACAACAACAACAAACAAACAAAAAAAAAAGGAGGCAAAAAAAACAAAAACAAAAACAAGAAAATAAGGTATGATGGACGACCAGTCCTCTACATCGGGCGGACCCCAAGAAGGGAGGGATGCCGATCACCGACAGAATCATGGAAATGTGCTGTTCGTTGGCAATCTTCCATTCCAGACACCGTGGCAGCACGTGAAGGACCACTTCAGGAAGGCCGGGAAGGTGCGCTACACCGACCTCATTGCCGACCGCATGGGCCGGCCAAAGGGATCCGCATTGGTGACAATGGTGACGGCTGAGGGTGCGCAGAGAGCAATTCGCATGTACAATGAAACGGACTTTGAGGGCCGACGACTAATTGTTCGTCTCTTTGATGACGGTCCCCGCCCACCGATTGTGCAGCGTGGTATGATGCCCCAGTACGACCGTCAGGCCCAACAGCAGCAACCGCAGCAGCAGTCGCAACGATTCCGTGGATACACAGGCGCAAGTTCTGGTGGCTCGAATTACAACAACACAACCAACTTTGGTCGTAGGGCGGATTACATGGGCCGTGGTGGCTACACGATGGAAGAGGATCTTAATGCAACGAGCTTGAACGATATGGGTGACTCAGTGCCCAAGCCACGCAGCCAGCAGGTTAATGAATTTGGTCGAAAATTGTTTGTTTCAAATTTGCCGTTTGACTGCACAAGCAGCGCGCTGCGAGAGACATTCCAGCAAGTGGGAAATGTGGAGCGGGCGGAGGTCATCTTGGGGCGTAATGGAAAGAGCAGGGGGATGGGCATTGTCGTGATGAGGACGGAAAAGGAGACGCGCTTGGCCATAGAAGAGTTTGACGGCATTGAGATGGCAAACAGGGCTATGAGTGTTCGTCTCGACAACAAAACCACGGCGTAACAACAGTCTGAAGAAGCACGTTACATTGGAAGACGCTTGAAAAGAAGAAAATATGGATGTTGTGGTGGATGGATGGTGAAGGAATAAAGAAGGAGAAGGGCACCTCGAACAATGATACATGCTGCTGAAAGGGGTTGAAGGAAGAGAAGGGAAACTGACAAGGTAAAGAGGGAGGGACGAGGAATGAGAGATGATATGGGGAAGGGGTGGCGTGTTTCTGTGTGTGAGACAGGCTAGGATGGGAGAACGGGGCGGGGCGAGCAGTGGCGATATTCCTATTTCTTTTTCAGTGTGAGGGCTTGTTTCGGCATACCTTCGATTATTATCATCATCATTTCTAACTTTCTTCCTCCCTCTTTTTTTTTTGTTTGCATTTGTGCGTATGGGTTTCAGGTTTCCCCTCTTTTTTTTTTTCTTTTTCTTCTAAATCACATTACTTTTAGTAAACTTTTTTCCTTTGTGACTGTTTCTTTGGATACTATTGTTCTTTTTGTTGCTTTGCTCGTCATGTATTTTTGCTTTCTGTTTCTTGGGGGAAGCAGGCATTGCAAATAACGGGATTATTTTTTTATTGTTCCCAACGCCGTGGGAAGTGCAGGAATGAATCTATCCCTTTATCTCTCTCTCTGTGTGTGTGTGTAGTGGAATGATCGTTAGGGAGGAGAAGCGGTTGGATGCGGAGAAACGACTGATGGTCAGGGGTCTTGGATGCTTGTTTTTTTTTTTTTTTTAGATTTTTTTTTTTCTCTGTGTGTGTGTTTGTGTGTTTACATGCGTGTTTCTTTGATGCCTTGTTTTGTTTGTTTGTTTTGGCTGAGGATGGCACTGTTGTCATTGGTCTTTTAAGGTGTTTTTGTTTTTGTTTTTCTCTCTTTTCTATTCTCTTTTTTTGAGCGTGTGTGCTTTTGGCTGCTCCAGTCTCCGTGCAACCGTACGTGCACCGTGTTTTTTTTGCGTTCAGGCTGTTGAAGTGGTGATGTGACTACATGGGGAGCATGCATCTTCCACGAGACGTGACAATGTGTGGGGAAAAAATGAGAGAGAGACGGAGGGCATGTGAAAGAAGGTTTGCGCGTCGCCGTGAGATGACGGGTGTGTTGTTTTTTTTTTGTTTATCCGCGGGTTTGTTGAACGCGAATAAGTCTGAATGTGTGCATGTGTGTGTGTGCGCTTGCTCATGGTGGGGAGGGAATGCTGGAGTGCTCGTGTGTGAAGTGGGCTGCAGCGAGGAGGGAGTCAGGAAAGAAAAGAGAGGGAAATCGAAGCAAAATCGACAAAGACAATAGAAGAAGGTGGGGAAAAGGAGAAGTAAAGCGGGGAAAAGGAATGTTGTTCAAATGGAGAGAGAGTGAGAGGGAATGAGGGAGATGTTTTGTTTGTTTGGTTCAAAGGAAAGCCCAACGGGTGGAGGGTTGAGTGGGCGACGAGAGGAATGGGGGGAGCAGGGAATAAAACTGCCTTTGTCTTCTGCGAAGAGGGGTAAAGGAAGGAAGGAGAGGAGAGGAGGGGGGGGGGGGGGGGATGCATGGATGCTTATTCTTCCTCTCCGTACTTGTTTTTATGTGCGTGAGTGGATGGAGAGATTGGAGCAATGAGTTTGAGGGAGACGGTAAGGGAGAGAGAGAGGGGAGGGGGGAGTGGAGAAAAACGGAAGAGACTAGCGATGAAGGGCTGCGTGAAATGTTGGCAGATGTCAGTTACTGGGCTTAATTCTGGGGATTTGTTTGTTTTTGTTGTGTTGAGTCCCTTACGACGCCGGTTTGGCCATGTTGGTTACGAGTGTGGGCGCCGGTGACCGTGATAAGTTCACAAATAACACACATAGGTGCAATATCCATATGCTTTCACCCACACATGATTCAATTCTCTTTGCCCCATGCTGCGGGGGACACAAGTTGAATTGCTCTTACCGCATGTCTTCTTGTGTTTCTCTCTTGCTGTTTTTGGTGGTGTTGGTGGGGTTTGTCGGATTTAAGCTTGCATGTGTGGAAATTTTTTAACTGCTGACTGCGCATGAATGCATGGTGGAATTGGAAGAGGTCCGATCGTGGGTGTCAGTGAGTGTCCGTTCTCTTCCTTCTTTTCTCTTCTTTTTTTTTTATTATTGTTGTTTCTTTTTTTGCTCTTCTTATTCTTCTTAATTATTTTTCTTGTTCTTTTGCCTTTCCATTTTTTTGTTTTCTTTTTTTGTTCTGTTTTTTGTTGGGGCCTCTGTGTGCTCTCGCTCTCCCTCCTTTTCTCCCTCTGCCTTCTTTCTTTTATCTTCATTGGGTCCGTGTGTGTTTGTTCTTCCGGTATTCCTCATCTTCTTTTGTTATCCCTTGTTTTTTTTCTTTCTTGATGATCCCTCCTTCTTCCTTTCTCTCTCTCTCTCTCTGTGTGTGTGTGTCTGGCCGTTGGATGCGCATGGGTGTACGCACCGCAGCGTCCGGGGACCGGCGATGATGAAGACGGGTGCCTTTAGACAAAACCGACGTGATATCACCGGGCCATTGGCGTGTGGCTCAGCCGCAGTGGGTCGGCGGTGAGCGGGGCGACACGTTTCCGCCTGGCGGCTGCAGAGAAGCGGGGGTGGGTGGGAGAGCGGCATCATGAACTTGGGTGGACGACGCCAGTAACGCCAGGGGGCGGAAAAAATAAAAAGACTGACTGCAAACGCACGCATAAGAGGGAGAATTAACCGAATGTAGAGAGGCGAAAAAACACAGAAACTTTTACGTGGATGGTCTCCGAGAGTATCTTCACAGAGAGAGGCTTTTTTGTGGCTGATTGCTTGTTTGTGTGTGTTTATTTATGCCCCCGTCTGGCGAGACGGTTTTGTGGGCGGTGTTGTTGCTCTTTTTGAAGCTCCGCTGGCCCAAACCAAAGGAAAGGCTGGCAAACAAACAAACAAAAAGGAATATTGGTTTCTGCAGCGTGCAGGCCGTTGTTTTTTTTTTTTTTCTTGCAGCAACCACAATCGGAATTGTGCGGAGAAGTGTCTTTCTTCTCTCTCCCCTCCTTTCCTATTGTCATCAACATCCCAATTATCCCAGGCGCGTTGATTCCTTTCAGCGCTTATGATAACGAGTTCCTTATGACTTTGCTACTACTGCCTGCACCTTCCTAATTGCCCCTTTTCCGCACTCGACTACCGAAGCGTTTAGAGCGACGTGAGTATTCATGCCGTACAGGCTGCTCGTCACAAAAATCCCACTGCACGTGGGGGAGGAGGAATTCTACGACTATGTGCGTGCCCATGTTAGCGGAGAGGCGGTGGTGAATGCCCTTCTTATTATGCTGCCAGGCGGCGGGGGCGCATCAACGCTCATTTCATCTTCCGGTGCTGCGCTGGTGGATTACTCTGCTAAAAACGCGGCCGATGCAGCAAGGCGCGTGGATTTCTACGTGGACGGTGTGGCTGTAATGATGAAGGCGGTTGGCTCCGTTCCGACGCCAGGGCGAAACACTGAGTTGCTGGCCGAAGAAGGGCGCGTGGCCTACCAGCGGCTTCGGCGCGGCCTTTCTCATGCAGATTGTTGTACCGCCCGCACCGATGCGGCGGCGGGGCAGAAGCGACAGCGCAAGGACGAGAATGTCGTCGTCGTCGATGATGTTGACAGGAACATGAAAGGCATGCGGGAAACGGACAATCAGAAGGCTGAGGAGGTTGAGCTCCGCCTTGTTGGGATACCACATGATGTGTACGGTTCTCTTTTTGATGAAGGCGTTGCGGGCTCAGGGTCTCATCCAACACGTCAATCCACCGTCGACCTCTTCACGGATGTCGCCCTCACCATTCGCCGTGCGACTCTCGGGGAGCTGTTGTCGCTGCGACGCATCACTGACGACGAGGCGGTTATTCGGGTCTTCGCAGACACGGCCGATACGCTACTGGGGCGGGCGGAGACTGGCCTCCAGCTTCTCATACAATCCACTGCCACTACTGAGGACGCCAAAGAATTTCTTAAAGAGCCAAGTGACCAGCGTATCCTCTTTGTGCGCCGGCCACGGCCACACGTGCGAATCACCGGTGATAACTTTGCGCTGGCAACAAAGCACGATGTGGTGGGGGCTATGGCACGCATAATGGAGCTCACCAACGCGAAGGTCGCTGGCTTTATTGACCCTTTTGGTAACTTGTTGCTTCCCTCCCTTAACTGAATCAACGCAATTCCTCACTGCCAGAATGGCTATCTTTACCGCTCAACTTGAGCCATGTGGGGATAACTCACTTTTCCCGCTGTGTGTGTGTGTGTGTGTCCTCCGTCATTATGCCGCCTTTCTTGCCTCTCTTTTCTCCTACAGTTTAACACGCTCAAGCAACATATCTAAGTGAAAAATGGCCACCACTCTTGAGGAATTCTCCGCCAAGCTTGACCGCCTGGATGCTGAGTTCGCGAAGAAGATGGAGGAACAGAACAAGAAGTTCTTCGCGGACAAGCCCGACGAGAGCACGCTGTCCCCTGAAATGAAGGAGCACTATGAAAAGTTTGAAAAAATGATTCAGGAGCACACCGATAAATTCAACAAAAAGATGCACGAGCACTCTGAGCACTTCAAGGCCAAATTTGCTGAGTTGCTTGAGCAGCAGAAGAACGCCCAGTTTCCAGGATAGTATGAAGAATGAATCTAGGGATAGAAGGGCTGTGGTTGGTGACGTACACGCCGTCGACCACGCCCACCCCCAATTTTTTTTTTCATTTAAGCCAGGCATTTATTTTGTTTTGAACCAACCAGCCGGCAGTTGCCGGGTTTGTGTGGCCACGCCGTTATTCCTTTCTTGTTCCCCGCTGTGTGTGTGTGTGTGTGTCTTCCATCATTATGCCGCCTTTCTTGCCTCTCTTTTCTCCTACAGTTTAACACGCTCAAGCAACATATCTAAGTGAAAAATGGCCACCACTCTTGAGGAATTCTCCGCCAAGCTTGACCGCCTGGATGCTGAGTTCGCGAAGAAGATGGAGGAACAGAACAAGAAGTTCTTCGCGGACAAGCCCGACGAGAGCACGCTGTCTCCTGAAATGAAGGAGCACTATGAAAAGTTTGAAAAAATGATTCAGGAGCACACCGATAAATTCAACAAAAAGATGCACGAGCACTCTGAGCACTTCAAGGCCAAATTTGCTGAGTTGCTTGAGCAGCAGAAGAACGCCCAGTTCCCAGGATAGTATGAAGAATGAATCTAGGGATAGAAGGGCTGTGGTTGGTGACGTACACGCCGTCGACCACGCCCACCCCCAATTTTTTTTTTCATTTAAGCCAGGCATTTATTTTGTTTTGAACCAACCAGCCGGCAGTTGCCGGGTTTGTGTGGCCACGCCGTTATTCCTTTCTTGTTCCCCGCTGTGTGTGTGTGTGTGTGTGTGTGTGTGTGTGTGTGTGTGTGTGTGTCTTCCATCATTATGCCGCCTTTCTTGCCTCTCTTTTCTCCTACAGTTTAACACGCTCAAGCAACATATCTAAGTGAAAAATGGCCACCACTCTTGAGGAATTCTCCGCCAAGCTTGACCGCCTGGATGCTGAGTTCGCGAAGAAGATGGAGGAACAGAACAAGAAGTTCTTCGCGGACAAGCCCGACGAGAGCACGCTGTCCCCTGAAATGAAGGAGCACTATGAAAAGTTTGAAAAAATGATTCAGGAGCACACCGATAAATTCAACAAAAAGATGCACGAGCACTCTGAGCACTTCAAGGCCAAATTTGCTGAGTTGCTTGAGCAGCAGAAGAACGCCCAGTTCCCAGGATAGTATGAAGAATGAATCTAGGGATAGAAGGGCTGTGGTTGGTGACGTACACGCCGTCGACCACGCCCACCCCCAATTTTTTTTTATTTAAGCCAGGCATTTATTTTGTTTTGAACCAACCAGCCGGCAGTTGCCGGGTTTGTGTGGCCACGCCGTTATTCCTTTCTTGTTCCCCGCTGTGTGTGTGTGTGTGTGTCCTCCATCATTATGCCGCCTTTCTTGCCTCTCTTTTCTCCTACAGTTTAACACGCTCAAGCAACATATCTAAGTGAAAAATGGCCACCACTCTTGAGGAATTCTCCGCCAAGCTTGACCGCCTGGATGCTGAGTTCGCGAAGAAGATGGAGGAACAGAACAAGAAGTTCTTCGCGGACAAGCCCGACGAGAGCACGCTGTCCCCTGAAATGAAGGAGCACTATGAAAAGTTTGAAAAAATGATTCAGGAGCACACCGATAAATTCAACAAAAAGATGCACGAGCACTCTGAGCACTTCAAGGCCAAATTTGCTGAGTTGCTTGAGCAGCAGAAGAACGCCCAGTTCCCAGGAAAGTAATCTGAGAGAATGTAAGGATAGAAGGGTTGTGGTTGGTGACGTACACGCCGTCGACCACGCCCACCCCCAATGTTTTTTAATTTAAGCCAGTTTTTTATTTTGTTTTGACCCTTTTTTTTTTGTATTTCATTTTTTGGGAAGCAATTGGAGGAAAAGAATGCGTTGTGAGGGCACTATCGGGTGCGACAAGACGGGAGTGGTGCGTATACAATGGAATTGAATACTAACGTGCAGTTTCTTGCGGATGAAAAGTGTGTATTATATGCTGTTCTTCTTTTTACATTCCTTTTTTTTTTTTTTTTTGATGGGCTTTCCTTATGGGACAGGTTTGTCGTTACATAGTTTTTTTTTTTTTTTTTTTTTTTTGTGTGTGTGTGTGTGTGTGCGGCGGAATTGGAGTTTTGGGGGTGGGGAAAAGAGGGAAGGTTGGCATACATAGAGTTGGGTGAATGTTGCGCTCTACGCGTCCATGGCGTTTTCGAATGAAAGGAGGCGAAATGTTTGTTGAGTATAAAATTATGTCGCGGGATCATCGGCGCTCTATTCGTGTGGAAGACGCCATTGTGGACCCCAGTGTCGCTCGTACGGTTGTACCACTAAGTTGGCTGGAGCAGCTGCGCAGCCCGTCTCTTCGTCTACATACCGGGTATCACATGGAGGAGGCTGTTTATGTGCCTCCGGCCTATGCTGCTGTGGACGAGAAAGAGGGCAGGCGTTTGTCGGAGAAGAGCACAATGACGCCGAATGCAATTTTGGCCGGTCCTGTTGTGCTGTCCATTACAGGGCAGAGTGTTCCGGTTGTGTTGAATCCGTACTTTGTTCCAGATGATACGTGGGGCATCAGGCGGAATAGGGACGAATGGGACCTGCGTCTAGGCATGGATGCCATTGAGCAGTGCACCTTGTTTAGCGAGCTGCGCCCAGGCGGCTTACTTTACAACAAACTCCCTAGTAGCCAGAACGTCACGCGTCACGAACCTGTACGTGCAACTCTGCAGCGCTATGGCATGAAGTGCGGCCTTGCCGAGTCACCACTAGTTCCTCGGCCGTGGACGCGGATGCGGTACATGTTTATCGATGAGCTGCAACGCGGTCCAAAGTTGACGGAATTTGTTGGACACAACCCGCGCAATGGTACCCAGTGGCGCTTTTCGCAACACTCAAAGTACTTCCGCATTGGTGTATGGCGGGAAACGATACGCCGTAACGACATGAACGAAGGTCTACACGGGCACAGCAGCTGGCAGAAGTCACCGCAGCAGGCCGTGCCGGAGGTCCGCCTCATGGCCCCCTACCCGTAATTTCGCCGGGAAAAGAGAAAGAGAAGGAACAACAAAAACAACAACGAGGATAAAATAATGAGGGGAAAAGGGATAGAAAACGCCGGCACATTCTGAGAAACATGCAGCAGTTGTGGCGGTTGGCGGCGTTTTTTTGTTATTTTTTTTTTTAAAACCAAATTCCTTTACGAGGGAAAAGGGCTGGTTGTGCGGAAAGGCGGAGGGATTACTCTGTCTTTTTGTCTGTATTGTCTGTACGAGCATTATTCTTGCGTGCTTGATGTGTATATATTGTGTTGGTGTTGTTTGAGAGGCTTAAGAGGGACCGGGGCGGTGAGTTTGGGGTGCAGAACAGCACACACGGTAGAGAAAAAAAAATTTATTTGGAACTTTTCTAGATTATTATCTTTTTTGGCTGTTTTTTGTTTTTCTTTTTTTTTTTTGCTCGTTTATTAGGTGGGCTCTCATGGAAGCGAGAGGAGTCACCATCCCTCCTGCGCGGGTAGGCCATACGGCCCGCAATTCCTTGGCTGTAAAGATTCCTGCTGGGCGAATGGTACTGCAGGACGGCATCGTTAAGCCGCTGCTGGGGCGCGGATTACTGTGTCTGATGCGGGATTCGCTAATGGACGAGTTGGTGCTCACGTGGGTTCCCGTTGACGGGGGGGAGGAGCACCGGTTCACGTTGCCGCGAGGTAAAGTGCAGGTTAGTTGGGTAGAGAAGTGCAAGTCCGGAAGGGTGCTGCTGTTTGATGTAGATAAAGGCAAACAACTGCTTTTCTTCTGGATGCAGTCCCGTTCGACGGATCTCGCTGAAAAAATGATGCGGCGGCTGCAATACATATTGGAGAGACACCGAAATTACCCTGTCAACGCGCCAAATTCACAGGCAATTCAAATGTCAACTTTTCGAAGAATACTGGAGGAGGTGCGAGAGGGTGCCGTGGCGCTGGATGTGGACCTCGAAGCTCTTCTGGCTTCTTCCAAACTCATTGAAGCGCTGCAGGAAGACCCGGAGTTTTACAGGTCGAGGGTGGTGGATTACCTCCCGTCATCGAGTGCAACGGTGACAGACACGCCCGTTGATGTGGTCAGCCTGGTGCAAGACTCTCAGGTGCAGTGGGCGGCTGTCATTCTGAGCACAATGCTTCGCCACCAGGCCACGAGTACTTATCTTTCCTCCCTCTTTCTAGACGCCGCCGCACCGTGGGGCCTGGGAGTCGTGTCTTTTCTTATGCAAATCATCCAGGCCTTCTTGGAGTAGGTGAAAATCGGAAATTAATTCTGAGGCAAAGAAATTGGAAATGAACGGTTGAGTCAAAAAAGAGACACACGCGATGTTCATATATTTATGTGTGCCACCTTTACGATTGGGTGCCCGCACGACGCGCGGGGGAGAAGTTTGCTCTCCTCTAATTGCACAGTGATGACTGAATGTAAATGGTAGGAAAACAACAGCAACAACAACAAAACGGCAAGTTATGCTGGGACAAAAAACGTCAACGGATTTTTGAAAAACTTTATTTTACTTTCCTCTTTTATACTCCTACTGACACACACACACACACGCAGCCAAGTGTCTTGTGTAAAAAAATATATTTTTATGGTTAGCGATCTATAAATCAATTGCATGTCCTTCTTTTTTTCCCTTTATTTTATTATTATTATTTTTTGAGGAAACTTTGTTGTTCCCCATGATCGACGAGGTCTGGGAGGTCTCCTTTAGCGAGAGAAAGCGTATTGCAAGTGTTCTCTCCTTTCTTCGACGGTGTGAATGTCCCTACATTGGCCGTCCTGTTGTGCGTATGTACGGTGAGGGAAATTTACAGAAAGATATGAAGGAAGAAGCTTGGGCATCGCCTCTTCTTATTCTTCTCTCATATCCATTATCGGAGCGTCATATCACACTGCACCGATTTCTTCAGACGGAGGAAGGCCGTCGCCGCGAGGTGAAGCTGTCCTTGGCGTACCAACTTGTCCAAGCTGTTTCTTTTCTTCATGCCTGTGGAGTGAGCCATCAGTTTCTTTCCTCTGACGTGGTGTTGGTGGAGGTGGAACCAGAGCCGACCATTCGTGTTATACACTTTTGCGGCAGCACAACTTCATCTGACTGTAGTGGCTCTTACATCTGCGTGCGGAATTACAGACCACCAGAGGTGGTTCTACAGCTCAGCGGCATAAGTCGAAGGCGGTGGACTGCTGGGCGTTGGGTTGTCTACTGTTTGAGATATACACCGGCTCCGCCGCCTTCTCACTGGAAGAGTCGGCCGGCAACTTTCGGCCGCAGCTTGTCAGGAAACAATTAGAAGAGACCGTGAGGGTCATTGGTCGTCTGAAAAAGGACAGCATCCCGCCTGGGTGCCCAGACCGTGTTTCCGAGTATCTCCTAGGGCTCAATTATGATGCATCTTTTTCTTCTCGCATGCGATTGGCTGGTCCGGAAGATGAGACGGAGATGTGGATTATGATGATCAGACCGCTGCTCCAATTTAACTTTCACCTGCGCCCACCTGTGAGCGAGCTGCTTCGGCACAGGGTCTTCGCAGGTATGCCACTACCTGTTGCCTGGCCGGTGCCTGACGGGAACCCATTACAGTTGCAGGAACTAATTGGTTGAAATTATTTCTTTTCCTTTCTTTTTTTTTATTTTGTTTTTGCCGAGCATATTATGATTTGGCTGAATGAAGATATTGCCTTCACTGTGACCTTCCCTTCGGTGCTGCCTTTTTACTTCCTTTTCATTCCATCCCATCGGCGGGATCATCGTTGCTCTTCTCCTGCCGTGACTTCTCAGCTGCCTTTGTCTGTGTACTTCAAGAGCCTCCTAAAAATAAAACGCTAGGAATACAAGGATAAGAAGTAAATTCAATGGGCCAGTGGTTAGCGTCCGCATTCAAGTCGCTCCTGGGCAAGCAGGAGGTGCGCATTCTGATGGTGGGCCTTGACGCTGCTGGTAAGACGACAATTCTGTACAAACTTAAACTTGGCGAGATCGTTACAACGATCCCCACCATCGGGTTTAATGTGGAGACGGTGGAGTACAAGAACCTCAAGTTTACCATGTGGGACGTTGGCGGCCAGGACGTTCTGCGCCCGCTGTGGCGTCACTACTACCAGAACACGAACGGCCTCATCTTTGTCGTGGACTCCAATGACAGGGAGCGTATCGGTAAGGCACGACAGGAGCTGGAGAAGATGTTCACAGAGGACGAGCTTCGCAATGCCGTGCTTCTTGTATTTGCCAACAAACAAGACCTTCCCAATGCCATGAGCACGACGGAAGTGACGGAAAAACTGGGCTTGCACTCCGTGCGTCAGCGCAACTGGTATATTCAGGGATGTTGTGCCACTTCAGCTCAAGGCCTGTATGAAGGTCTTGATTGGCTTGCCGCAAATATTAAGAAAACCTCACAATAGGCTACCTTTAAGGAGTGTATTTTTTGAATGTGCTGACGGTTTTTTTTTTTTTTAAGTTTTGTGCTAGCATGTTGTCATAATTGATCCTATTCCTGTTTTTGTGGTGACGGAGATGCCCCTGCGGCGGTGACATCTTCTCCTGCCGTGACTTCTCAGCTGCCTTTGTCTGTGTACTTCAAGAGCCTCCTAAAAATAAAACGCTAGGAATACAAGGATAAGAAGTAAATTCAATGGGCCAGTGGTTAGCGTCCGCATTCAAGTCGCTCCTGGGCAAGCAGGAGGTGCGCATTCTGATGGTGGGCCTTGACGCTGCTGGTAAGACGACAATTCTGTACAAACTTAAACTTGGCGAGATCGTTACAACGATCCCCACCATCGGGTTTAATGTGGAGACGGTGGAGTACAAGAACCTCAAGTTTACCATGTGGGACGTTGGCGGCCAGGACGTTCTGCGCCCGCTGTGGCGTCACTACTATCAGAACACGAACGGCCTCATCTTTGTCGTGGACTCCAATGACAGGGAGCGTATCGGTAAGGCACGACAGGAGCTGGAGAAGATGTTCACAGAGGACGAGCTTCGCAATGCCGTGCTTCTTGTATTTGCCAACAAACAAGACCTTCCCAATGCCATGAGCACGACGGAAGTGACGGAGAAACTGGGCTTGCACTCCGTGCGTCAGCGCAACTGGTATATTCAGGGATGTTGTGCCACTTCAGCTCAAGGCCTGTATGAAGGTCTTGATTGGCTTGCCGCAAATATTAAGAAAACCTCACAATAGGAGTAGTCATTATCTGATGGGGTGATTTTTAAGTAGATCATTTCAATTAAGTGCGCAGCTCTCGTATTTGAGCTTCATGGAATAAGCGATTTTGTTTGAAGTCTTTTTTTTTTTTTGAGAAGCTTTTTTTGGGTTTGAAAACATTTTTTTAAACTTTCTCTGCTTTTTTTTTTTTTTTTTTGCATGTTGTCACCAACAGTAGAAACTAAATGTCTTTGAGACCCTCCACCACGGGTGGCTGTAGACTTCTTGGCGGGTTGGTATCCGCTTTTGGTACTGCTCTTCACGATTATTGCAGAAGGCCCCCAGCTTTTTTCCCGGAGCCTGTTGATGTTTGGCTGGCGGCGTTGATGGATGCTGTGCCATTTTATCAGCGATGTATGGTGATTTGTCCTTCAATGATGTCAAGCGATCGTGAGAATTCATTGTTGGCTCGTGCCCGGGATCATCTGCCCTCCGTGCGTCTGGCGCCTCTCAGAAGACGCTCCTGGGAAGTTTCTCAACGAACCGAATCGGCAGCGTCGCTGCGAGAGGATGGAAAGGTGGCCAAGGAGGTCACACCGGGACAGTTGCCTGCATTAATTTCGCCGCTGGAGAACACGCCACCGCAATCTCTTGATCTTGTGGTGTTTGCGGCAAATGTCTTTGGGGAGGAGATGCTGCACGACGCGCCGTGGCATCTGTCGCTTGCCCACCGTTGTCTTGCTCCTCATGGGGTTGTGGCGATTATGGGCTATGCGACCCGCGTTTGTGTGGTGGCGCCAGAAGCGGCGCGAAGGGACGCAGATGACTTTATGGAAGATCTGCAACGCACGGCCCGTGAGGCAGCGAAGATGAAGGATTCAAAAGAGCTTCGCGTGGCTTTGGGGCGCGCTATTGATATCAGTAGCAGTTTGGATGCGGGACATGCCGACATGTACTTTCCTTTTCGATCGACAAAAAGGCGGTGGTTTACATCTGAGTACGCTGCCACTCCTGCGCAGCTCGCCGCATCGTACCGGGCCCTTCCGGAGTACCAAATACTCTCCAGGGAAATGCCCCGTTATCGCCAGGCTCTGATTTCTGGAAGGCAAAAGGTGCAGGTGGGGGAAGAAACTGAAAAGGATGAGTCAGTGAACGTTTTTCGGCGCCGTGGTGGCGCGGAACCTCTTGAAGTCTTGCAGGGGTGCTTGCAGGCGCAAGTGATTTCGTTGCATGGACGGAATACGCTTGCGATGCCTCCGCTGAGGGTTCAAGTACGGCACTTTATCATCACTTGCAGCTCACGTTCGGTAAACGCCGCTTCGGAGCCCTTTCAGCTTCGCTCCCTTGGAAGGGAGATTCCGCAACTGAAGTAGGCATGTGTTCTTGGAGCAGTGGGACCGCCACGCAGGCAGCCTTCAGAGCAGAAACTGACATTTTGCTGAGGACCTCTTTGGAGGCTTTTTTCTTATGGGGTTTCAGTCTATACTGTCATTGACGCTTTACATATATATATATATATATATTCCTCTTTTTCTTTTTTGCCTTCTTGCAGTGCCCATTATTTCTTTTTTCTGTGTTTTACAGCTTCCCTGTTGATCTTCTGCCACGAAATCCGCAGAGAAAAAGCGAAAGCGCCCCAAACAACAAGGGGAAAAATAATATACGCAAACATACAGGAAGGAAAACATCTTTTTTTTTTTTTTTTATTTTGTCATTGCTGTTTTTTAATTATTATCAGTTTTTTGGTTTATTCGTGGTGAGTAGTGCATCTTCTTTCTGGTGGAGCAGGGGGAGGGAGATAAGCCGGGGCCGTGGACGCGATTCTCCCCCGTCGTAGTCATGGAGGCGGTGAAGAACCGAATGCTCCTGTTCGCCGTGCGACAACTTCTTGGTCGCATCGTGAAGGACATTCAAAGCGATCAGTTGGAGCACATTGGACGCTCGAACAACAGCCTCGGGTTCAGCGTTGAACTTTCCCGTCTTGAGCTGAACGAGGCGTTTATTAACGAGGCGCTTCTGGGCGTTCCGGCGGAGGGAACGAGTCCCTCGCAGTCAAGTACGTCTGCTTCAATACGTCTGGTGCGAGGCCATGTAAACAGTATTCGCGGGGATTTTACCTTTGGTCCCAAAGGAGAAAGAAATATTGAGGTTGACGGCCTGCAACTTGTGTTGGATGTCATTCCAAAAATAGAGTGTTCTGTTCCAACAGGTCGCCGGAGTCGCAACGTAAGTCAAATGAGGGACACGAGGGATCGTCGTGGTCATGAAAAAAGTGCAACTTTTCCGAGGAGTGGCTGGGATGATGAGAACATTGGCGTAGAAGAGGACACCATATACTCTTCCCTCTTTATAAGCGATAGTCTGCGAAAAGGGGTCGAGGAGAGTGTGGTACGCCCTGCGATGGATGAGGCAGCGTATTCCACGGGACAGTCTTCGCCATTCCGCCATATTGATGGCGGACTGGAGGTGTTTGAGCGAACAATCAAGCAGTTTGCTCATAGTGTGAGGGGTTGTATACGGAATGTAAGCATAATCTTGCGTATCCCGCCCTTGGGCGAGCGAATTGTGCCGGGACGGGAACCCCCAGACGGTAGTTTGGAATTGTTGGTCTCATTTGAAGGAGGATTTGAGCTAGAGGATATGTGCTCGGATCCAGATGGCGATTTGGTTCACAAACGCATTCGATTCTCCGGTGTTCGTGCGGCCGTGTACCCATACGGACAGCGGCGCACAATGCGTTTTACGGATGACGAATTGGAGGAGTCCGTTGATCTTGCAGACGTTTTCCTTTGTGGTGGACGAACGGACGAGTTCAACAATGACATTGTACTGCGCTTTGGTGAGGGACGAAACCCAACTCAGGGGCCAGAGGCGCATCTTGACATGAAGATTACGACGAAGTCCTTCTTCTTTATCCTTTCACCGACACAGTTGGGCCGTCTGGTGCATGTTGCTTGCGCTTTGGTGGGGGCACCGGAGGGGGACATGGATGCAGCTGCAGAAGCGGCGGCAGCGGCAGCACCTCGTGTGGTTCGATTCATCACAACGATGAAGGCAACGTGCCAGTACGTTTTTTGTGTGCTTCTTCCCGGTGAGGATCGTCAGGGGATTAAGGGATTTTGGCAAACACTTCAGCAAGGTGATAATGGGGCTTCCTCTGGCGATGCACTACTGTCATCTAGAAGCCACCGGCTTGTTTTGCATCGTCTGCTTCACCGTACAGGGTACTACAATGTGCATGTGGGCGGTATCATGTTATTAGTTCAGCCAGTGACGGCGAGCACAAGCCGTTCCGAGGACGCGTTTCATGATGTTTTTGAAAATCACGGTGGACGTGGCTGTTCGGCGGGAATCAGCGCCATTGAAATCTATGAGCTTGCCCCCGGAAGTAGCGGTGAGGGTGGCTCCAGTGACATGGAAGGGGGCCGACTCATCTTAACCACCAAGCAAAACGTTGAAAATTACTCCGAGCGGCGCTATCGCATTGCCATTGTCGCTAGGACGACATACCCGCTGACACTTGCGGAGTCGCGACAGTATAGCGTCAATATGCTGAAGGATCAGGATCACGTCACCGCCGTTGTGATGGAACATGTTCTTGTGAAAACTTCAGGTGCAGTTCTTTTGGCGGAATTGGATGCGGGCATCTTTAAAAGGCTTGGAACCTTTTGGGCTCGCTTGCAGCACATTATAGGGGCGATCCCTGGAACAGGGAGGTCTTTCTCAGAGAAACAGCAGCAAAGAGGACGGCAACAACAACAACAACAGGCTGCAGAGCTCTCTGTGTCGTCGTCACCGTCATTTGTACCGCTGCGTCGAGTTTCACAGGAGGAATCAGATCGTCTTGAACGACCCTTGGGCGAGGGACAATTTACTCAACTGCCGCTCGAACAGTTGACTGGGGAGGGCTGTGGAGGTTACTCTCCAGAGATGCAGGTGACGACGCCTTATGTCCTGTTGCGCTTTTTTACGCTTCAATTGGAAGGTCTCACGTTGGAGATGAAGTTTTCATCTTCCAAAATGCCCGATCCGGATTATTACGGCCCACTGACAAAACGTTTGTGGGAACAATTGCGGAGTGAAGCGGAGGCGTCTTTTCCCACCACTGATCACTCAAAGTTTTCCGGTGTGGATGGGCCCTATCTCCCATTGACGATGAGTTTGTATCTGAAGTCGCTTGATGTATCGCTTGGAAGCGAAGGTGTGCTGGAGGTGTTTTTGGGTGAGGGGCAGCTGACCCTGCATGACTACAAGGAACGGGTGCAGAGCAATATTATGCACTTTGTGCTTGACCCGGATAGCAAGGAACCCTGCATCGTTGTCCGCCAACGGCAGTCGCGGTCATGCGACACGGCATGGAGCGTCGCAAGGAAGGCTCACGCTCCCTTTACAGATGCGTATGAAAAAGAGGAACTTCAGGCTGAAAGCAACAGCCTTATTTCTGTGGTGGCGAATATACGGCAGGTACATGCCCAACTTCATCAAGATGAATATCTTCTTGCTGTTTTCTATCTGGATCAAGTGCTGGAAATGGTGGATACTATGCGTACAGTGATAAACTCCCCATATAAACACAGTGACAATAAAGAGTATGCATCTCTGGAAGAGATTGCGGGGGACTTCAATTTTGCTATTTCCAGTGCCTCCAACGTATCGGAGGGTCATCTGCACTACGGCAGTACGGAATATGATCCCATCACCACGAGTATCAGTGTTCGACTGAAAGTTGAGAAGGGCGCACTGTCAGTTTGGGCACCGCGACTTTCCTCCGCAGGTTGCACTATTGGTGACCCGTTATGGCGCTGCATCCCACAAGGAGAACGGTGTGGGATTGATAAGGAGCACCTGTACCACCTCTACGACGTGATGCTCTCGAAGGTTTCTGTTTTTGTTTTTCACCAGGCATCGGCGCGCTTGGAGAAAACCGCGCTACACGGGAAAGCGTCCGATTTTTTTCTAAGGGAGCGACTATGCAAGGCCAAATTGACGTATGTTGACTTTCCGTGGCCAGCCGAGCACGCTTCTTCCCCGAACTGGGGCGGTGTTGTAACGCTTCTCCAAAGTTATTCAGCACTGTACAATCGGTCGCATAACATTCGGGTGCGTCCACCCTGCGCAAGTTCCACAGAATCTTTGCGAAATCGTCATGCTGTTGGTGTCTCGCTGTGCCGTCATCGAAACGTGGAGGATCATGTCGAGGCCTACGATGTTGCCTTGCAGTTTGATCGCATTAGTGTATCTCACCAAACTGCACATGAAGGGGATCATTGGCTGTTTGTTCTTTTGAATTACTTTTCCGACATCAGTGGCGAAGGATTGAGCTCGGCCGTGGCGGAAAAGGAGGCGACGGCAGACACTCACGTAACAGAGGAGAATGATGTGCATAGTGACGATGGGGTTGCCATTGCAACATCAGCCGACGTCAAAATTACGCTCATTGACGTTTTTGTGGAGTATAGGCCATTTTGGGAGGTCTTCGA